AAAAAAAAAAAGGGAGGAGTAGTTAATTTTATAGTCTAGAAAGAGAGGACCCTAGGACCATCAAGGGAGAAGAGCACAAGAGGAACGTGAGACTCTATCCAGAGAAGCAGTGACACCAGAGATGGAGGCAGAGATGACGACATGAAGAGAGGAAGAAGCTGGGGACTCTGGACTCATGGAAAGAGAGGTCTGGGTGCTGGCGGCCAAGAGGCAGGCTTACAGAATATGTCATTTGGTTGTTTAAATTATTATACATTCCTGAGTGTTTTAGTGTACACCCCCGGCCCCCAAAATAACAAGAACAACAAAAAGGAATGGAAGCAACTATTGTTGAATGATGATGCGAGGAGGAGATTGTAATCACTGCAATGGAACGATGTGTAAAGCATATGTTCTCCCATGTAAACTATCACTCAGTTCACACACACAAAAAAAAGATACGGGCAATTCAAACCCACCCACCAGCTGCTCCTTGAAATATCTACACAGGGTGAGTATGAGTTGGAACTGACTCTACAACTCTTAAAAACGACAATGACCATGACAGGACTTACAACAACAACACACGAGACTAAAAGAGTATCTACAAAACAGAAACACATCCTGTGCCCATGGAAGTTAAAATGTCAATCCCACCTAAAGCAATCTACAGATTCTATGCTATTCTAACATAAACCCCAACAATATTCGTTACTGAAATAGAAAAACAATTGACAACTTCATATGGAAAGGAAAGAAACTCCAAATAGAAAAAGCAATACTAAAGAAAAACAACAACACAGGCAGCCTCACACTCTCCAATATCAAAGCATACTATACAGTCACTATAATCAAAACAACCAGGTACTGCTTCAATGATAGACACAGAAACCAGTGGGATAAAATTGAGAACCCGGAGGTAAACCCAACTGATTTTCAATAAGAAATCAAAGTTCATTCAGTCTCTTTAATAAACGTTGCTAGCAAAACTAGATATCCACCTGCAGAGAAATTAATTATCATACATAAAAAAAACTCACTCAAAATGGATTAAAGATTAAATGTTAAAACCATAAAATTCCTGGAATACAGCAAAGTGAGAAAATCATGGTATCTAATTTTTTAAAACCAGGATAACAAACATTACAATAAATGCACAACAGAAGATGGCAAAGTATATAAATGGGATCTTTTAAAAAAATCAAAAACACGTTTTTTAATTAAAGACTTTATTAATAAAGACTTTATTAAAGAGTACATTGACAACCTACGGAAATGGAAAAGCTTGTCAGATATGACTTATCCAATAAGGGTCTAATCTCTAAAGTCTGTAGAAAACTGCAAAACTCAACAAGAGAAATACAAACAGCCCAACCACAAAATGGGCAAAGGACATGAACCAAAACTTCACCAAAGATGACAACCAAGTAGCCCACAAGCATATAAAAAGATGTTCACAATTGTTGTTGTTGTTGTTAAGTGCCATCAAGACATTTCCAACTCATAGAGACCCTGAGTACAGTTTCTGAGTAATGACTGGTGGGTTTGAAATGACAACTTTATAGATAGCAGTTCAGTGCTTATCCTACAGTCCCACAACAGGGAGATGCAAATCCAAACTACCATGAGATACCAGCTTGGCTACCATGGCATTTATTGAAAAACTAGATAACAAATGTTAGTGAGGATGGAGGGAGAATGGAGCCCTTATCCACTGCTAGTTTGTTGTTGCTGTTGTTCAGTGCCGTCAGGACTGCAAAATGAATATGGAAAATAGTATAGGACTTTCTCAAAAAACTAGAAATAAAACTACTCTATGTGCTGGTGTAGCACTGTAAAATAAATACTGGACTGCTCCTCATAAATCCTAAGCAGGGATGCTACGGGTCAGAAGTGACTCGACAGTACTTAACAACAGCATAATGCAGCAATTCCACTCTTAGGTATATAAGAGGGCTTCAAAAAGGTCTTGACATAGGCAGAT